GATTCCTTTACTAGAATCTAAAAGATCACCTAAAATCTGCATCGCGCCGCAACGAGACCGATATGACACGCAGCACGCAGCACGCGCAAAGTGCTGAGAGAGTTGCACGCATGTCAAAATTCGCACCGCGCCCCAGCGAGAGTGATCTGACACGCACAAAGCCACGAGAGGGCTGCGTGAGCACATGTTAGATGCCGACGAAAAATGAGCATTGAAAATGACAAGAGCAATGTTTTACCAAGGTCTCAGCCACTTTTTTGTCGAAGTCTACAAAGTACTGCGCTTGCCATGGAAAAAAGCCTGAGGCACCCGAAGTGTTGCACCTGCCGCACGGAATCATCATGTCCAAAACCCAAAACCTAGACAGCCAGGAGTGCTATCCTTTGAGCATTTGGGCCAAGAATTTGCTTGGTTGTGCTGAAGGCTTATCCTTTGAGCCTTCATGCTGTGTCCATCAACTGAGCCATATAATCATGCAGCACCGCGCATTACATGCACGATCTAGCAGCACTGCTGATCAACCGGTTTAGAGAGAAGACGTGCTAATTTTGTGCCCACCAAAAGAGCCATTTTATCACGCTGCACCGTTCATGAAATGCACCCATCTTGCAGCACTGCTGATGGGCTAGTTTTGAAAAAAACGTGCTAATTGTGTGCACCTGCCTTGGCTGCTTGAACCGCTCGTATAATATAATTCTATATATATATACATATGTATATCATATTTGTTTTTTAGAAACACACACACACACGCGCGCACACACACACAACACCTAAACACTAAAACACTGCAAACTGCTTGGCCCAAGCAGTTGGTTGCTGGGAAAAGGGTGCATCAGAAATAAACTACGTGTTTTGATTCATTGCCAAATTGGTTTCCAACCAAACGTATATAACACCGGCTCATACTTTCACCATTTGTTTTGGGAACCCAAAGACGCCGCTAACATACAAATAAAAACCCGAATTTTGAGAACCCAAAGACCCACAACAATATATTGGGAAACCATTATCATCTGCAAATTGTTGAAATATCTTTGGTCCCTTACTTTTCAGGAAATGGAAAAATGGCATGGTAACATGCACCCTATGCATTATTTGACTTGTGTTGGTCTGGTGCCCACCGACAAAAACTATATAGTTCTTCTCGGTTTTTGCTGTTTGCAAACAACATTTACTTTGGCGCCCTAGATATCGTGAAATAGCTGGCTGATCGATGTTTATTCCCCGATCCAATGATAATATGAGTTGTTGAGTAATGCCCCATATGCTTCACAGCGCGTTTGGGTTTTTAATCTTCAATGTGCCGCAATTTGGTGAATTTGCCATTTCCAAATGGTAAGGAAACAAGAACCAACTGATCTGACTAATTTTTTGGTTGACGGTCATATTTGGATTTGCCATTTCCAAATGGTAAGGAAACAAGAACCAACTGATCTGACTAATTTTTTGGTTGACGGTCATATTTGGATTTGCCATTTCCAAATGGTAAGGAAACAAGAACCAACTGATCTGACTAATTTTTTGGTTGACGGTCATATTTGGATTTGCCATTTCCAAATGGTAAGGAAACAAGAACCAACTGATCTGACTAATTTTTTGGTTGACGGTCATATTTGGGGATAGACATAAAGCGGAGGGAAACCCAGCTAGTGATTTAGTTGAGCATAAGCCACCTGTAAATATGCATATGTATATGTATATATGTAACAATGATTTACGTCCCATTTTTAAACAAAACCAAAACACACGTGGGGAAATACTCCATCAACATTCAGGTTGAAAAACTCGCTGTTCTTGCCGTCGACCAAGCACCAAAGCTGTGCTGCAAACCAGGTGATTGGATGATTGAAGGGAGATAGCACTAAATTAGATTGGAGGGATCTTCATCACACATATGATTGGGCATGACATGGCATGATCAAACCACCCATGACTGGGGTAAGTTCCATAGGTTGACACTAGACAGACCTTAGCCTTAGCCGGATGCGCATGCGCTCATCTCTTTTTCCTCATTCGTCGGGCTCCAAGTCAGGGGCGAAGGTGAAAAGCTGCAGCAATGCTCTGTAGCGTTCGAGGGTGACCTTTTCCATTGTCAATGGATGAGTCCTACTGGCTATGCTGCCAATTTGTTTCATCAGATCCTCATCCTGATAGCAGTGCTCATACCTGAGAATCACAGGTCTAAATTGGGAAAAAACATGTCAAATACTGTATTATTTTCCAGAGGGTGTTTGGAAAAAATAGGAAAGGTACCTGTATTCATCTAAGTTGCCGGGGATTGCGCGAGGTTTCATCAATGTAAAATGACAGCTCAAAGAAACTGTGGAACTTTGGAGTGATCTTATAGGTACACCGCCCATCAACCCTCTTGCGGTCATTCGATGTCAGTTTTTGGTACGGGCAATGGACACAACTTGTGTTTTCTCCTCTGGTGGGAAAAAAGGGCCATTCTTGTCCACAAGAAATTGGAACTTGGCAAACGCGTGCATGGTGTGAATACGAAGATGTCCTCCTTCAACATCATGATCGTTCTCTTTCAGAAACTCCGCACACCAGTACATCATGCTTTTGACTACTGCCGCTTTGAAAATGGATCCCAGTTCCGGCGGCATTGCCCATTTCTCTTTTCCAAACCGAAGGCATGAAAACCGATGTGAGCATGCTGTTGCATTGGGACCATGTTTGTGACACCAAGCTCTGTAGTGTCTATAGACATCTTTTGAGAGTAAGACGTCCATTTGTTTCAGGGTCAAAGCATAGTGTTTACATTCCAAATGATCACACACCAATGCAGCGATCAAGACACAAGCCACACCCTGATGAAGGGTATGAAGAAGGTCCTTAGTGTGAGAAACAAGGTCACTGGTACCTAACCCCACTATAGTATAAAACACAAAGATCCCTTTAGTTGATTTTTTTTCCATATTTGTTTGTGTGACTCCAATCCTCCGCAAATAGGTTGAGAAAATAAAACAATATACTTGATTGGAACCAAGATCCTCCAGGTTTCTATCTTTTGTCCATCCTTTCACATATCGCCAACTGCTTTGTTTGTTTCCCTGTAGAATCATGTATTCTTCATGCGTAAACCGATGACTCAGGCAATTGGCCGACAACCTGAAATCTCCAAAAGTAAAGTTCGGATCCCTGGATGCCAAGCAGTGGTCGCATATGTAAGTTGCATTGTAAAACCTTTTGGACTTGTGAATGATGTACTTGGCTTCCCAGTCACCCTTAAAGCCAGCAAAACACAGTGTCCAACCTCCACAAATTTTGTGACCTGCTCGGGTTTGTTCTGGTGACCCCGGATCAAAACATGTTCCATCGGGGCCATGCGTTGGGAATCTCCCTGTCATCAAAGTGTCCATGATGTAGCCAATAAGTTTGCCTACAGCATCATGACTCGCTTCCTTTATGATTCTGTTTTCCCGCAAGAGGATGATCACCAGCTTTGTTCTGATGGATGGACCTTTCCGACATGCACTGCTGAAAGAATACACCCATGCTTTCTGGGATTTGTAAACTTTGACACCATCAGCATGAAAAAAAACAGGAACAGTGGTTCGATGTTGGCTTGGCGATAATTCCAGCCGCTTGTAGAAGTCTAGGTGTGAACAGTGGTTCCAATACTCTTCAACTCTGTCACCGGCAGTATCCGGGTCATCTGCCACCCATTGTAGAAAATTGCCAGACTCCCACAGCCAGTGAAGAATTTCCCATGGCCAAAGAATGTTTGTTGGGCATTCCATGACTTCGACTTCATCCCCCTGGGTATTGGTAACCTTCAAAGGGATTTCCACTTGTCCTGGATGAACCGTGCATACATTTTGGCACCACCTGCCAGGGTTGGCTTTGGAAACATTTGGGATCATCCATATCATAAAAATACTTATGGTTTGTACTTTTTTTTATTGGGAAAAACAAAACATGATATGTATTGATATGTTGTTTTGTTCAAGTCGAGCCACTTTGAGAAAGACCTCTCTGGATGCCCTCCCTGGCTCCAACGTTTCATGAGATATGCCATGTTGCACCGAACTTGATCATGGTGTAGCTCAGTCGCATCCCGGCACCCATCAGCTGCGGATGTAGCCTAAGAAGCCACAGAACTAGCTTTTTTTTTTTTAATATATATATAAATATAAGTATATGTTGTTCTGACATATTCTAGTGGTAAGATTGAACTCAAACTTTTGAAAACCATTCGCAACTGTAGCTATGTACATGTGACATGAAATACTGAAGCTCAGTGACCCCTGAGCAAATCTTCCGTAAAATCCTCAAACTTGATCGTGATACTGCACCTAAGAAGGCGTCCGGATGTGCATAGAATCCAGCTAACAACTTGATTTTGGGATAGAATCTGACACAATTCAATGTTCAAACACTTCCCATGCAATCAATCTTTGTGGGATACAACTTTTAGATTTTCGGATAGAATCTAAGATACTTCAATGTTCAAACCTTTCCCAATCAATCTTGGTGGGATCCAACGACTAAGTTTTCTAAAACGACTCGGGCATAGCCCTATAACCCTTCCCAACCAACTTTTGGGATTTAACTCTTAAGTCTTCTGCTGATGAGGTGCCTTCAAAGATGTCACTGGCATTCACTGGAATTGCAGCAGGAGGAGATCTGGATCGGGATTGGCACCTGCGTGGGAGTTTCCCCAACAAAGGGATTTGTTTTTTCACTACAGATAATTAGTATTCATAAGTTGATTTGACTAACTTGACTCAACAGCATTCCTGTTTTGACTACAGCATCCACACCACAAAAAATAAAGTTGCTTTGACTCAATACTATTCCTGTTTTGACTCTGGTATCCAAGCATCGAACGCATATCCCTGCAGGTAAGCCCGGAGGGTTCCAAGATCTCATTTGAATGTGTTGCGTGTTGCAACAGGTGCCAGTATTGGCAAAACCCTGGATGCAGCTTGGGGAACCACAGAAATAAACGTTTGCATTTTTCATGAGATGACTAAACTTATAGCATACCCCTTTTGTGCATCACTTCAACCCCTTAATGGCTGAACTGACCAACATCGTGGCCCTACTCCAGCTATATAGGCATGTGCCACAACTTGAAATCACAAAAGTGTGAAACTAAGCATGGGCAGGGTCGGGAGCAGTTGTCGCTTCCTTTGCCGCCTCCTTCTCACTGCCAGCTGCTTCCCTATTTGACCTAGATCTAGATTTGGCAGGCTTCTCAGATGCTCTGATCAGTGCCTTCGCAAGATCCACTCTCTCCTTGGCATGCTTGGTGATGTCCTCCACCTGAAGCCCAGGCAAAGATAGGATACTTTCCAACTAGTACACTAACTACAGTACTGAAACATCGAATAAGTTTTTGAAGTGCCATGACCAAACAAAAACATCTTGAAACTCAAACACCTTTTGAAACCCCATCACCTCAGCAATGAGATCTGCGTAGTTTTTATTCTTGTTCTTACCTTTGCTGATGAGATTTTGGAGTGCATCAGCTTGGTGCCCAAGTTTCACTGCGCACGCTTTGAGCTGATCGATCAGATCAGAAGAGAGAGCCAGGGGCCGCAGCTTGAATGCATGGTCCCTTAGATGAGATTGCAGCGCTGAAACAATTTGGGTATATATGCACAACTTCTGTATTCTGACTGGCTCTTGGTCTTTGGTGACACATGTTGCAACTACCTGGCTTGATTGAACCCTTGTATCAACTTGAATGGCAAGCAGCCGACAGTTGTTGGCATCCTTCAGCACCCTCGCAAGCAGGCCCTGCGCTTCCGATATCGGTGTGTCAGGCACCACCACCTGCAACAAAAGGAACAACAGCCGATTAGGTAAAGTACATACAGACTGCAAGAGAACAAAATCACATACCCTGTTTCTGCCTTGGGAGGAGTAGTCTCTTTCTCCCCTTCCTTCTTATTCTTCTTACCCTTGCCGCCCTTTCCTGGTTTCTTTTCAGCATCCCCAGACGGAGCAGCAGTTCCAATTGCATTTGCAAGAGTCTTCATGCCAGTGGCACCAGAAAGCCCTTCGATAGAAAGATGCTGCTTTCCGTCCAAGCAGCCTCCAGCCTTACAAAGTGCAATGGCGGTATGGCAGATCCACTGTAAAACGTTTGGGTCATACACCTTTTGACATCCACAAGTTTGGATGTGCTACTGCAAAAATGAGTTGAGGGAGTGGTGTTCTATAGTTATAATTGCTTTCCTTTGAGCACCGGTTGAACGAAGTGCATGAAGACTGAAGATTCAAGACTTGAAATAAAACCAGCCTAGGAACTTCCACGAAAGCCTTGACACCATCAGCATCCAGTGATCCCTGCATCTCTATCTGGGTCACACGGCGTAGCTCTCGGATGTCATCCATGTTCAGCTCCACCATGACAAAGAAGAGTTTTTCATCTTCGTCCCCAGGGAATTCAGGATCCGGAATGGTCCTCAGAAGAACAGTTTGGGCATGCACCCGTCTAGTAATGGGACAGAAAAAAGTGATTCCAGATGGAAATCCAACATTATATATATATTTCATACTTGGGGGTGCAGTATTCCAATGGCACATGGATGTATAACATAGCTGCTGGGGTTGTATCCTAACCTCTGGGAATTTTATTGTCATATAAAACCATATTTATGATAATTTCAACTGCACCCCCAAGTATGTATTTATATCTCCCCAAACCAGATGTAAGTAATCAAAACTATCAACATACATATTTGAATGTTTATATATATATATACATGTGCATAGACCACAACGGGATGGATATGGACAGATAAGGTATATTCCCTTGTATATTGGCTCCCATCTCCCGAAAGTTCGGGGCTTCCAAGTTTCCATCTTGGTCATGTACTGATAAGTTTTTAAATATCCAATAATGCATCCATTACGCAAAGGAGATGGAAGCTGTTTGCTTGGTGGAGTTCGTTCGTTGGAAGGCCTGCTTTGTGGCTGGAAAGTCAACCTGGAGATGTGCGGTTCCCAACAAAAACCATTTCATTATGGGGCAAGCTTCAATCCAAGTTCGCGTTTGCGAGCCATGATCTTTGTAGCTTTTCGCTCTCCATGGTGCTTGATTAACCATTGGTCATTCCTGAATCCATAACGAATCTGGGTCCTTTGGGTTTCTTCCAATCGGGCCTCAAAACGGGCCTCCACCTGGGCGGTATCCCGATTGGTCTCGACATAGTCCTGGAACAGCTGGTGCCTGGTCTCCTGCGGGTTCAATTGAGATAGGGATACAAGGTGGTGCCCCCAAGATAGCGAAGTTGGTTTATAACTCTAATAATTAGGACTTATGGTAGATATATCTATAGTTAATGGGATTATAAACCAACTTATAACTTGGGGGGCACCACCTTGTACCATGTGGGAATTATAACCATGTTGGTTCTATTTTTGGATCTACCACCTAATTGATGGATCTTGGTGCCTCCAAACTTGAACGGATTATTTGTTACCCAACTGATACCGAGCTAACTTGATGGGGCTTGGAAGTCTTCAAGATTTTGGCAGGGCCTTGATTTTTCCAAAAAAGGTATACCCGATTGATATAACAATCTTTTGCAACCACCTTGTGTAAATAATTAACCAACTAGGGCGATGTAACCATCTCATTCAGGATTCGGTACTTTAGGCTTTTCCTTGTGCGGGAAAAACATAGGTGACCATTTTTGGTGGCAAAACCAAACTGTTTCCATGCAAGAAATGGTCTTCAAAAAAGTCCCTTGTTGAAAAGATAGCCAGCCAATTAACCAGTCCTTGTTCTTGCAAGCTGCTATGACCTTTGCTGGGCAACGGGTCGGGTTCTTCAAGTATCTTGTGAAAGCCTGCCACTCCTTTCGAAACTTGGTGCTGTTCTTGACTTTGATGCCCTTCTTTGCAAGGCTTTTCTCTGCATCTTTCAATGCCTTCTTGGCCTCTTTTTTTGCCTCCTTCTTCTCTCTTTTCTTCTCACCCTTCGTTTTTTCAGTTGCCTCGCTCGGAGCTTTGCTCTCTTCCTCACACAGCTTTCTCTTGACACCCGTGTCAACTTTGGTCTCCTTCTCACCACTCTCCTCTTCGCTTCCCATCTCACCCTTCCCATCGCTGTCCTCACCTTCGCTGTTTGTCTCACCCTGGCTACTTTCTGAGACACTGCCCTCCTCCTCTTCTTCCTCCTCCTGATCTTCATCTTCACTGCCTCCTTCTGATACCTCTTCATTGTCTGAGCTCTTCTCCTGGCTTTCTTCTTCATGGTCTGAATCGCTTTCAAGTTGGCTTGCTTCCTCCTCACTTTCGCCTTCGCTGGAACCTTCGCTGTCATTGCTGTTGCTGTCTTCTTCTTCTTCGTCTTCACTCTCGGTTGCCTCTTTCTTTTTCAGCAAGCTCACAGGCTTCATGTTCTTTGCATCTTCCAAAGCCAGCTTCTCCTTCTCTTTCTCTGCCTTTGCTTTCATTGCTTTCTCTGCCTGTGCCTTCTGTTCCTTCTCCTTCTTTGCAATCTCTTTTGCTGCCTTTTCTGCGTCTTCTTTTGCCTTCTGTTCTGCCTTTGCCTTCTCCTTCTTTGCAATCTCTTTTGCTGCCTTTTCTGCGTCTTCTTTTGCCTTCTGTTCTGCCTTTGCCTTCTCTGCCTGTACCTTCTCTGCTTTTGCCTTCTTAGCCTTAGACTTGGCATTGCCTCTGTGTTCCTTCTCACTCTCCTCTTTGGCTGCTTTCATCTTCGCTGCCGCTTCTCTCTCTTCCTCTTCCTTCTGTCTTGCTTCTTCCTTCTCCTTTTCCTCATTTCTCTTCTTGCTTTCCTTTGGCTTCTCCGACTTCTCCTTTGGTTCTTGCTTCTGAGCCTTTCTGGGTCCAGTCTTTCTTTCTGCATCCCCCTTTCTCTTCCGTGGTTCCTCATCATCATCTGGTTGCTTCAGCGTCTCCCCTTTCTGCTCCTTCTTACTGTTCACCTTGACGTCTGGCTCTTTGGAGCTCTTGGCCTTTGGAGCCTGGCCATTATGTTCTATAACAGTGTTCCACCAGTTCTCAAGAGAGCCATAACCATCCCATCTATCATCTTTTGGTATCTTCTTTTCACTCTTGGGCTCTACTTTCTGATACAAGCCAGGTCGTTCAAATCTTTTCCAATACTGCCGGCGCGCCTCATGCTCTTCATCTGAACTCGAGCTGTTTGCTGCTGCTGCTGCTGCTGCTTTCTTCTTCCTTTGTTCCTTTGCTGCCGTCTCCTGCTATGAAAGTGGAAAATGGGTGCATTCACCTTTTTTGGTTTAAGACCATTGCATGTTTTTGAAAAACACATTGCAAAACCATAAAGAGGAATCAAGAACACCCACATTATTCGAAGATAAGTCCAATTTGTTTTGGATATTTGGGAAAAGGTGCAAAAACATATACTTTGGATTCCATCCCAGTTTCTACCCCAATATACCCCAGTATGGCTCCTTACGCATGGCTGCGATGATAGCATCAGCCTTCTCACCCTTCATGGTTTCATCCTCAAACCCTTTCCCTGGTGGGTTCTCTGCTTTGATAGGGTGGATTCTGCTGTGTTCAGCAAAACTCAGCTTCTTTGGAGTAACCGGTGTAGAAGACCTACTGCTGTTGCTACTAGGCTTGTTTGGAGTCACCAAACCACTTTTACTTTTCTGTTGCACCTTCAAAGCCTTTTTAAGAGCTTTCGGGTCAGGGCTCTTCCCACGAGGAGCTGATTTCCCACGCACCCTATGGCTAGGAGCTGCCATGATCGATGAAGTAAGCGGGCCCAAACCAAGTTCCACTAAGTTGCCTTAATAGAGCCAATTCAAATGTATCAAGGCTTGTCAATGCCAGTGAACAACAAAACAAGGATATGTTCTCCACTTGAACTGTATGATATGCTAACCTAATACCATTTTCCACCGCTCTAGACGATGTCGAAGGTCCCCAAGATGATTTAATTGGGGTTGGCAATCGCGCAGGATCCATATATTGGATACATTTCCGGGAAATAAATGTGAATTCCTTCAAAAAGTTAACAAATAATTGCAAAGTTTGGAAACTTCCAAAACCAGGAAATTTCCCGGTTATTCGCGGCCATTTCCCGGCTTTTTCCCGTTTCCCGGGCTATTTGATTTTGGATTTTTTTGGGTGTTTTTTGTGAAAAAAGTCAATCCTGCACATCCAACCACATCTAATTTGAACCAAAAGGGTATGTTACCCTTCATCGCTTGCCATTTGGCTATTTGTCCATGGCATTAATCACCTGGATCAGGTTGGCAGAGCTGGCCCACCCGGACTCCTCAGCGGGCATGGTGCTTGTGGTTGATCAAGGGATAACCCACAGAATATAGCCGGGTATATATCGGATCATATGCAATATTTTAAGGACCGGTAACATTCTATATATGGGGGAAACACTATAGTATATGCTGGATCATCTTCTACTATCTATCTATATGTATGGTGTATACACTCCGGGTACATGGCCTGGTCAGGTACTATATATATATATGTGAATATAATATTCTTTTTCTTTTTATATTACCTTATATTGTCATATATTATATATAATATATTATATGTTAAATTTCAAATATCAAATATTTGACATATAATATATGATATATCATATGTGATATATGAACACATTATATCTGGTAAAATTTAAATATTATAAATTATGTTATTTATGATAAAAGTTATATATTGCAAAATGTAAATTATATATATATATATATCATAAATGCTGTCTAGATTAGATATTATGTTTGACACTATAAATTGTATATTATAATGTCTTTTATACACCTTCTAATGTGGGATTAATCTTCTATATGTATAGGGGGTCACAATACCAAACCATATACCAATTCCCTTTCAGAAGCCCCTGCAAAAAAATAACAATCATATTTCGCCGGATTTCCCAGGTGGCCCGAAGAAGTTTATATAGGATTCCCCAAGATTTTTCCTGGGATTTCCTGGGTTGCCCCAAGAATCCAAGAATTTTCTGGGAATTCTTCGGTTGCCCAAGAAATTTCCTGGGAATTCTTGGGTTGCCCAAGAAATTTCCTGTGTTGCCCCAAGAAGTGTGGGAATTTCTGGGTTTCCCAAGAAATTTCCTGGGTTTCCCAAGAAATTTCCTGGGTTGCCCCAAGAATTGTGGGAATTCCTGGGTTTTCCCAAGAAATTTCCTGGGTTGCCCCAAAAATTGTGGGAATTCCTGGGTTTTCCCAAGAAATTTCCTGGGTTGCCCCAAAAATTGTGGGAATTCCTGGGTTTTCCCCCACCGAGATGTACGTTACATATACATACATATATATATATATGAATATGTATATATATGTACATATATATATATAATGTGTATATGTATATACGTATGCATGTATTCGTGTGTATAGGTGTACATACTTGTGCAAATATGTATATATATAGATACACTGGTAGGACAAAAGTTGCGCTGGTTGAGCTTCCCACAGTGAACATGGTTGGTTTCTTCTTCTGCACACCCTTTCCCCGTAGAATCCTAGCATGGAGCTTTGTCGTACCCCGGTCGCATTTCCACCCTCCAAAAGCTTTAAAATCGTATATATTTAAAAAAGAAGAGGGTGATAATTGACCGCCCCA